ATTTCATATGAATCTTTGGGGGTGCAGCCTGAGCACAGGCGTGTTTTAACAGCTCTCTAGTGAGGGGTACCTGGGTGGGTTGAGCAGCTGACTCTTGATCTCAGCTTAGGTCACGATCCCAAGGTTGTGGAATCTAGCCCCACATGGGGCTCTGCACTGAGCTTGGAGCCTGCTTGGGATATTCTCTCTCTCTGTCTCTCTCTCTCTCTCCCGCTCCCCTTCTGCCCCCCTTCCCTGCTTGAATGCTTTTTCTCTCTTTAGAAAGAAAGAAAGAAAGAAAGAAAGAAAGAAAGAAAGAAAGAAAGAAAGAAAGGAAGAAAGGCACCCAGGTGGTTCAGTTGGTTACATGTCTGACCCTTGATTTCGGCTCAGGTCATGATCTCAGGGTTTGTGGGACTGAGCCTTGCACAGGGCTCTGTGCTGACAGGGTGGAACCTGCTTGGGATTCTGTCTTCCTCTCTCTCTGTCCCTCCCCTGTTCATTTGCACATGCATGCACATGGGCACACACACACGCAATGCACTCTCTCTCTCTCAAAATAAATAAACATTAACAATAAATAAATAAATAAATAAATAAAAGCAAAAGCTCTCCAGGGATGCTGATTGAGTCCAGGCCCACAGGCCCATCCCCAAGGCTGTGCTGTGGAGGTTAACTGTTGCATAGTAACCAGCTTTGGGGAGTTTTAATGATTAAAAAAAAGAAGAAAATGAAAAAAGAAAAAGATCAGACATTTGGAGCTATTATCTAAGAGCTAATCTCACATCCTCCCCGCAATACTCTGCAATCTGCCGAGCAATTTCACATACTTTGTTTTAGCTAATTCTCACAAAATCCCCTAAGGTCCACATTTGGGTGAGGAGGAAACTGAGGCTGGGAGACGGGGAGTCTGTGCAAGGCCACACACGGCGATTCTGGTGCTCAACCTAGAGTCCTCTTAGCTCAAGTGCAGTGTGTCAAAGAGGCCCCATCAGGAACCATGGATACTCTCCTATCTATCTATACGTATATAAAATATCATTTTATATATAAAACATATATACATATTCAATTCTCCTGGATATTTGACACTGAATTTGAATCACTGGGGACAAGAAGTGGGGGAGATACATGAATTCTAAGAAAAATCCTTTGAAACTAGGTGTTCTCTTAGTAATCCGAAGAGGGGTGACATCACTGCCAATGACAAGAGAGAGAACCACGGGGTGTGGATTTTGAGAAATAGGAATGCAAGGCTCTTACTGGCTGTGAACGTGAGTGCAAGAGAAAAATAGCTACGCTGGGAAACCCTACATGAGTCACCATTCCGGGGAGTCTACTTACTCTCTGTGATAAGAATGAAGAAGTATTTGAAGTTCTCTGTCTGGATTTCAACGCAAAAAGCTGACCAGGCACATGGTAGATCTCATGAGAAAATACATGAAGCCTGAAAACATGGTTTGGTTTAAAGATTTACCAACTTCAGCTAAAAGAAATCTGGGTGATGCTATCACTCAGCTGGCCTCCCATCCTCCAAGTCCTGCTTGCCCTGATAAGACACTGCTGAGCCAACATCTTCCTCAAGCTCCCCTTCACTTCTCAAACAGAACAGGAAGAAGCTCCATGCACAACTCAATGCTACTCTACACAGAACCAGGTTAAGGGTAGACACTAGAAAATTCTCTCTGAGCTCAAACTGCAGGCTGTTTGAATCCAGCTCTGTTACACAGAGACTTAGGGCAGCTTCTTAACCTTTCTAAGCCTCATTATTTCCATCTGTAAAATGGGTATATTTATACCCAGGGCCAGCGTCATGGGCATACAGCCTGTGTCATTGCACAAAACCCTGTACTTGGAAGGGCCCCAGGCTTCGTTGAATATTCTGCTGTTGGCGGTCTTGAAATTCTTAATAGGTTTTGAACAAGGGACCCTGGATTTTCAGTTTGCACTGGACTCTACAAATGATGCAGCTGGTCCTGTTTATACCTGTCCCACAGAGTACTGGAAAGTGCTGCAAGAGGTAAGATCTGTCAGGTGCAGCTCAGGTCTGGTGTGGGGTAGGTGCTCCGGGAAGGCAGCCACTGTGACCATTACTTTCACACTGCTGAAGCGATTAGTATGTTATTTGGCCCATCATACCATGTCACATGTAAGCTGGGTAGACAGAGTCAAGTCAAAGACTGAGCTAAAGTGACAACGAATGACCATTTTGTCTCTTAGATTATCTGCACACACTGCCACGGAACCTTCTTGAGGCTCCCTTGAGTTGGTAATTTGCACAAATCTGTGGCTTCCTTCCCATCCCCATGGTGCTGTAGACACAGAAGCGGATATTCTTTCCCTCTGATGACGCTGCTAAGTAGAAGGGCCATCCGGTCACCAGATAAGTGACTACACAATCAAGGCAAGAGTCCACTGTCATGTAAACAAGCATCATCTTGCTTTAGAGAGAGAGGCGGCAAATCTGGACCAGGGGAGAGAGACAAAGGGAAGGTGACAGAGGTGGATGGTGTTCTCCCCTGTGAGCTCTTTCTGGAGAAGGTGGTTTGTAGGGTTCTTGTCTGTGAAACTCATGTTTTAGGACTGGATACAACCAGATCAAATCAAGAAACCTTGTGCCATCCTGGCACTGTCCAAGACACTGAGAGGAGAGAAGATGGGAAGTCAGTGAATTCAGGGAATGGGTCCTGGGCTTTTCCCCGGGTTCAATCACGTCCCCAAAGCAATTCAGCCTCCAGGCATCCTGTGTTCCGGGGTGGGGCTCACTTTCACGGGGACCACAACTTCTGTTCCAGAGCACCATCAGGTACTTTGGGCTACCTCTTTTCAGTACTGCTGAAATACAGAACTTCCCTGAACAAAACGACTGTCACCCTTATGCTCTGAGGACACACTGCTTGCTGTAAAAGGCAGGGGCACCGCAGCACCCCCAACGCTGGAGGCCCCCTCGCCAGGCAGCGTGGGAAGCCTGCTGTGAGGTGTGTGGATGCAGAAGGAGCACCACCTGGTGCCAAGCAGAAAGCGAAGCCAAGACTGAGCAAAGATCCGCAGTGATACAAATCACAGCAGCAGCTAGCCATCACTGAGCCCTTAATATATGCCAGGCACTGGGTACGGGCCTTCTGCTTATTATTACCCCATTAACTCTGACAGCATCCCATGGAAGTAATTATTATTATCACCTTCATTTTCCACATAAGGAAACCAAAGCTTGGAGAGGTAACTTGACTCAGTTCTAAGGCACGCAGCTAGTAAATGTCAGAGTCTGGATTTGAATCCAATCCATCTGACTCCAAAACATAAACATAAACTCTCATTGCTCTGGTGGCCCCTGTGAGGGCCCCTTCAAAGAGGCCCATGATCATTGTCAGCTAACTCCCAGAGGACAACAGATACTGTTACACTTGTGTCAAGTCCCTACTCCTTCCCTTTTCTCAAATATGTTAGCTACTCTCACAGCAAAAGAAAGTTCTAGATTCATGCCAACCATGCTTCAATCACATGAAGGAGAAGACTGGGAATTTACAATCCTACTACAACCTTTCTCTTTCTCCCACCAAGCTTTTTGAAAGGAATATCCAAGAGGGAAAAGGAAAAAAAAAAAAAAAAAGATTTTGTTAAAGAAGTTGAAAAATATGCTTTCGAATGAGAAACACGTGTGTGATTATTCTCATCTTTTGTCTTCCCCCACCACCGAGTCGAAAGGAGACTAACAGGACACAAATGCACACACATCCACGTCAAGATAGGAACAACCAGTGATGCCCTGCAGGGCAGACAATCCAGACGCTGCCCTGGGAAGCTTTAAGAAGCGCTGGAAAACTCCACAGCAACCCAAGCCCAGCTCCAAGCAGGGTTTTCAAGCACGTGTAGCAAAAGAGGAAAACACCGCACTTGAATTTTAAGAAAGGGAATTGAACACCCCGCGGCAGGCAGGCTGGGGGCAGGCAAGTGAGTGTGTCAGAGAGCGCAGAAGTGCTGGAGGTATGCCAGTTTTTTATATCATTTCTTTTTTCCCCTCCTTCTGGCACAAACAAGCTATGGAATCTCAAAAATTGGGTCATCATTTTTGAATTCCCTGCTTTCAGCACAGCGCTCAGTTGGTCTTGTTGACTGGCTCAAAAGTCCGATTTCCTGAGCTAACACTTCCTGGCCATTCAGCTGCACGGAGTAATGACTAGGGGCCTGCCTTTCCCACCAGCAGCAGTGGTTCTCACAGGCGAGCCCAGGTCCATCCTTGTAGTGCCTGCTATTGTGTATTTAACGGCATCAAATATGCCCACGAAAGCACCGCTTCGAAGACTGTCATTTCCTGTTGACTCTAGGGTGGGGTGGGGGACATTACTGACATCCTGATCTCCTTGGGGAGATGGCTTTTCCCATAGGCTTTGGTGTCCCCCAAAGCATGGCCATCCTGCCCAGGAGAGAGTGGGGCCAAGCGGAAGCTGTCATACACAAGCTTCACTTAGGGTCAGTGACAGCGCTCACGACCCAGGTGCCAGTAGAACTGGGCACCATCTGGGTTTTCTTCTAGCAGCAGATTTTAACTTCCCTCCATCTGGGGGCAGGTTTTGAGACCTTTCACTTGATTTTCCAAAATTATATCGGCAGGTGTCTGTCACTTTTTATCCCCCATTTCCAGATTTCTAGCAGCCTTCCCCAGTTTGCCAATGTGAGACAAAATACAGTCCTCCTTTTTAGCCGGCGGAAAACATTTCCTATGTCTCTGCAGCCACTTGCTTGAGACTGCTATCATTGCGTCCCAGCGAAGGCTCTGACTCCAGTATTGGCCTCCAATAAACCCTATTCTGGGTGAACAGGAAACCCATTGTGAGCTGAGTTTCTGTGACTCTTTAACACTCATGCAAGAGGCATCGAATTTCAGCAAGATCTTCTGAAGTATGAACACCCGTACAAACCAGGCAGGGGTCAAGTCTGGGCTTGCTTTATTTGACCTTGGTTCGTTTTATTTTATTTAGGCAAACTTTTCCAGGGGGCGCAGGGGACCATAAAATCCTTACCTTTTAAAGGAGCCCATTGTTAACAGTTTGTTCATCACGGCCCCTTCGACCTCGCCAAAAAAGTCTCCAGTCTGCGGGGAAGAAAAGAAGACCCAGGAGGAAGTATAGATAAACAATGTGCCCAAACACCAGAGAATAGAAACGGGCGCAGCTCTGTGTTCTGGAGCAAAAGGCGCTGTCACATTAAAGTGGAGTATGTCCTCACAATCAGTAGAAGTGGTGGGATTACGCAGCAGACTAGAAAGCTCACGGGAAGGTTCCACCATACGTGGCACTTGCAAAGAGCGCCGGCTTCGCAAACCGCATGCGGAGCACTGGAACTGAAAGGCACACGCATGCGCGCGCACACGCGCACAGACATGCGCGCACACACCCCTCCCCCCCCCCACCCGGATGCAGTAAACCTTCATCTGCGCTCAGTCTCTTGTGATTAAAACCCTACTTCGTAGAAAGAAACAGGCTATGAGAGGGCTTCCCAAGCAGTAATAAAAAGAATTGTTTATAATTCCTGGATGACCTGTTTAGGGAAATGTAGCCGTCCTCTTCATCGGCCCTATAAATCTCCTGCTGTTGAGAATGCATCTATTCTCAAAATCACTTTCTGAAGAGCACTCGCAATTGTGTCCCTGGGCAGTTACCATGTGGACAAATCGGGCAGCCCAGGGCCCAGCCCCTTGAAGAGGCTTAATCAGACCTCTCTAATGGCTCACCCCTACGTCCTCAGGGCATTTAGGGCGTAGCAGCCCTTCCCCACCACCTGATTGATGTTTTTGCCTCAGACCAGCTCTTGGTGTTGGCTGAGATTTGCATACTCTGAATGGTGGGATGAAAAATTAACGTCCTTGCCCATCCCTCCAGGCTCTTGGAGCCATAGTCCTCCCGGTCTCGTGGGAGAGGGTGTAGGCAGTACAGCTGAAAAGAGCTTGGGACAACAGCTCTCTTCTGCCAACACCCTGGAATGAGCCAGTGTAGACCAGTAGAGAACCCCCATGTCTACAGTGGGTGCTCTAAGGATTTATAACTTCTGTGTGGGGTGAGTGGAGGGCATTACCGTCAGAGCCTGAATTAATAAATTCCATAGGCTTTGTATTAGCTAAATCCCGATTCAAATTACAACTGAGTGACCTCAAGCACGCTCCTGGGAATTTTCAGGCAGAAAGGCATAGCAAGACTTTGTCAGAAAGTCACGAAAGAGAAGAGGAAGAAGAAGGAAATGACATTTCACTGACTAAATATGGAGCATTGCCTCTTTCGTTCCAGGGACAATTGGGATCTTTTGCAAAGTCTATGAGTGTGTGCTGTAGCGAGGAGCTAGGACATTTGTATTTTGTGTGTGTAAATATGCCAGTGTCAATGGAACTGGTTGTCAGATGAAGAACCACCCTAATTGGGGTGCAGGAAACCAGACAACATCAAACAAAGGCAGAGCAGGCCAGCTGGCTCCCTGGGCAACGCTGCAGGGCTGTCCCAGGGAGAGATCCAGCAGGGAGCAGAGCGCACGTGCAGGCCCGGACTGGGTAGGAGTGGGTCACACTGTGGGCCAGTCGAGAACCCCCAGGGACCAGGCTCCTATCTCAGCCCTCCATTATCCTGGTGGGAGGACAGGGTTCCTCCTCAAAGGTGGTTAATTTGGATTCCTGCTCCACTGACTCTTGAAAGTTTGGGTTTTTTTTCTCCCAGCAAAACAGGCATATTACCATAGGCCTCTGGGCTCTTGCACTCTCTCAGACTGGCTTTACGTCATGGGCTCACTCCTATCTGATCTTTACCAACTGTCCAATGTCCAGTGATGGTGAGCATCCGAGGAGACAGGGTGTGGGCAGTTTAATTTCTAACATTGTAGCTTTTCTCTCATCACAGGTGCACTTAAGATTCCCACAACATTTTCGTGGATAAGAAGGGAAATTCAAGCACAATTCCACATGTGACCCAGAGCCAGTTCTGATAAATTAACAAGGCACTGAGGTCAGACTCCTTAGCAACTTAAGGACAATTAACTAATTTATTTAGGCATTAATAGCCCTATCATAGTGTTGACTGCTAAAAAATTTCAAATGATTTAAATGGGACTTCATTATAAAATGGCTGTCAATCATCCTTTTACAGAGCCCACCAGGAGGCTCAGGCAGGTAATGTGAGGCGCCTCCACCCCCAAACTAGTGAAGGAAGAGAGCACGTCCCAGAGACCACGCACCTCCTTCTCTAGTGTTCCTTTATCATGCCACACTGCTAAACACATCTGTGTTTTACCATCTCTGAATAGGCTAATTTAATTTCTAATTGCAGAACAAGTTTTTCTGTGCATAGTTTTAAAGGAGAAACCTGGGGCACGCTGGCGGCTCAGCTGGTTCAGCATCTGACTCTTGATTTCGGCTCAGGGCATGACCTCATGGTTCGTGAGTTCGAGCCCCGCGTCTGGCTCTGTGCTCTGACCACATACAGCCTGCTTGGGATTCTCTCCCCCCACCCACCACCCCCTCAAAACGAATAAATAAACTTTAAAAAAGACAGAGAAACCTGTTTTCTCCATTACAATGCTATTGTTTTGAACTCTTATTTTGATTTCCAAACACAGTGGAGATTTCTGGAGATTTCTGTTCTTGGCCCCATTGCTGAGTGTCTTCCCATATCTTTTCCCTTGCCTCACACTGTGTACAGCTCAGTCAAATGAAGAAAATTTCTTCTCTCTTTCTGGATCCTTTTCCCTCAGTGTTGAGTGTTGACAGCCCAAGTTAATCCCTGAACCCAGATAACTGATTTTTAAAAAGCTAAAACCAGAAAGAAAGTCATAAGGAATAATTATGCTGGAATGTGTGTGTGTGTGTGTGTGTGTGTGTGTGTGTGTGGTGTATATATATATATATGGAAAAAGTATTTAAATATCAAAAGGAGGAAACCTCCTTCAAATTGTCCAAACTCTTTAAGGCACCTCTACTTTTGAGGCCAAGTGTTCTACAAATTGAACATTTTATGAGTGAGAAAGCAGACCCTGGGCTCTGCCCCACCCCCACCCCCCAACTGGGAGGTAAAAACTCTTTGGGGCCTGCTGAGAAGTAGGCTGTGATATTTTTAGAGGGACAGAAATAAGGGTTAATAATCTCCTGCTATTACTTCTTAAATATAGATCATTGTCTCAAAGTTTTAACACCATCCTTTGTTCCCCTCACCTACGCCCATCCTGAGCTCCTTACTTTGAGTTGGTAGAAATTTCTCACTCACCTGGGTGTAGTCTTCAGACACCAGAATAAACCCATTATTGTCTATGAGGTAACAGTTCACAGTCTAGAAAAGAAAAAATACCACAGTTTCAACTTTGGATCCTCCGACTGCTTTTACACAAAATGACGTACCTCCAACCTGAGAGAAACCTACTGTAGGTTGTTTGGGGGGGAAATTGGAAATGCCTGTTGGCTCTAGGAGTTGAGGCCATGGTTAAGCTAACCCCAGTGTTTACTTTGCAAAACTAACAAACAAAAACAAAACACTAAGCAAGCCTTGAACATCCCAGATTAGGATAAAAAGAATACATGTTAAAAAATTAATTACAGTTTATCTTCCTTCCCCCACCCTCCACCCCCACCCCTTTCTATGACCTGAAGACTATTTCCCAGGAACAAAGTGTTCACAGGCCCCGAGCCTGCATGCGTCGTGGCTGAAATGCAGGCTGTTTTGAAAGCAAAACGCCAGCACAATGTCATTACCCTAATGATGTATTAATGAAAACACTGTGTCGGCTCAGAAGACCATCAGGGGACCAGGTAATATTTTTTAATTTGTTCATAGACTTAGGCAGGGGGGAAGGGGCAGACTTCTGTTAAAGGGGCCCCTCAGGCCTCCTAAAGGTTTTCAAACTGTGTTTTTAATTGGGAGCTGGATTTGGGGGCAGGGCTGTTAGCTTTTGGTAGCTCAGACTTATGAATTGTAGACAGCAAGGTAAACCCAAACCTCTGCTTCCCCCACAGTACTTTAATCTCAAGTGAATGATTTGCTACAGGCTAAGTTTTAATTACAGTGCTGTGGGGTTTAAACTTAAGGTTTAATTCCATCCTTGATGTAACTCAGTTTCTATTTATTGCAGCTTTACATACCGACTGCAACATTTAATTTGTAACATATCTTTACCCTGAGCTAAACTCCCCCTAGCTCCGGGCCACCACAGGGCTGGTGTTTTCTGGGACATTTGCCTATCTGTGGAGTTGTTTTCAGGCAGGCACAAAAGTCCAGCAATGAGTTGGTCCAAAAGTTTCATCCTTTATTACTAGGTCGTGGTGGGGAATCAGCAGAAACTTAAATGCCATGCTGGCACCTTTTTTTTTTTTTTTTTTTTTAAAGAGGCCCAAACAACTGTATTTGGCACCTTTTATAAAAGAGTTGGCTGCTTTGGTGAGTAATCGGGTTTTTCTCGGTTGTCCAAAGAAGGTTGAATGAATGACTTGGGTAACCAGGTTCCACTCTTGCTATTTGAAGAAGCTCTTTAGCTGTATGGACACTACTTGGGCCCTGCTGGGTGGGAATCCTGACAAACCTTCTCCATTTTTTGAAGATAGCATTATGAAAGCAATCCCATAGAGCTGTGCCATCCAACATGGCAGCCATTACCTATATGCAGATTTAAATTTAATTTTTTTGTGAATTCAAACTCAATAAAATTAAATATCTAGTTCTTTGGGTGCATTAGTCACATTTCAAGTGCTTTGCACTACCTTGGCTGGTGATTATACCTGTGGACATTTCCATCACTGTAGAAAGTTCTCTTGGACAGCAATGCTGTAGATTACACTAGTACTCCTATGAGTTTTAAGCCAGGCTCCCCTGGGTCATGTTAGACAAATCCATATCTTTGTTTATTTGAATGTCATGATCCTTTACTGAAGCAAAGGGAGGCTATTTATTTCATTAATAAATATACAAGAACAGAATTGGCCTCCACGTGTGGGTATTGACTAAATCCTCCTAGTTGCATAGAGAATCAAAGTCATCATACCCACCTCCACCCCTAATTATAAAATTAGTTTCCACTCAAACATGCCTAGCCAATGAGTACTCTTGCTATTACAGGGTGACTACCTCTCCATCTAATGTTGTAAATAATGGATAGTACAAAGCAGGTACAAGGCCAATAGATATAAAAGTCAACTGAAAATCTTGAGAAAGAAGGATGCTTCCATGAAGTCCATGAAAGTGATGCTGGCGATAGCTCCAATCACACGGGAAGACACTGGCAGGTTAGACTCTCCCAGAGCAATCTCCCAGAGCTCTGCTAGCTTATAGTCTACACATGCACTACTGATCCAGTCATGTGGGTCACATTAGTCTACATCCTACCAGAAATAATTGAAAGAGGAACAAGAGGGCCAGCCAAGGCTCCTGGAGGATTATATGCTTCAGCTTCCACTTTCCTCACAGGTGCCTCAGATTTTGCTCCAACATAGTGGGTGGGCTCCTGGGTAAGGACTGAGGTATGACACTTGTTTCTTCTACACCAAGTACAAATTGGCATTTACTTCTCGGGCTATGTTTCCATTTAACTTTTTTTTTTTCATTCATTTCTCCCCCCCCCCCCCCCCCCCCCCCCCCCCCCCCCCGCTCCCCCTTAAGTTAGGATTCCATGACAGGAACTTGGTGGCAGAGAAGACCATGCTTATTGATGGGTAGCTTTGAATTTCATGTTTGCACTGATTATAAAAATACTTGGTCACCCTTTTAAGCAAGAAACAGAATGGCCAAGGTTGTGATACAAATCACTGAAAAAAAAAACCAAGGTCAAAATCAAGGATGCTGTGTCATTAATGTGACTATGATGATTTCCTGAAGAGGCAACCTTACCAGCAAGTGCTTAGATTAAATGATTACTGGGAAGTGTGGTGTAGGTGAGTTGGCCCATGGACTTAGGTGAGCAGAGTACCAGGTTATGGGGCAGTAAGGACAGAATTGCCAGATTCCAGTCTGATCAACTGTTTTCTCTATGTCTCTTTACAATAATTAATATTCAGTTGTCTTCTCCATACTCCCTTTCCTCCAATAAAAGAAAACAGAGGAGATATTTTCTCAGTTTTCTGTCACTATGCTACTTTCCCCACAAACTAAGCCAAGCATCTTAGAAGGTGTCCACTTATCACCCTGTCCTAAGGGTGGACAGTCAGACAGAAGGGCTTGGAGGAAGAGAGCTCTACATTTTGACAGATATTGTAAGTGCCTATTCCACAGCCACCTTTGATAAAACATGTAGGGATGAGGTTGTTTGAAAAAAAATGCAGACAGGGAGAAAGAGAGGCAGAGAGAACTTGATTTCCTTAAAAAAAAAAAAAAAAGTTCTTGATGATGATTGGGTAAGTCAAGATTGCTCAGAGAGGTCTGATTCCTGTCCCAAAGGCAGATCAGGTAGATACCTGAGGTTAGAGGCCATGGGAATTGGGCAGTCACAGGTGGTAAGGAAAGGCAGTGAGGAAGGGTACTTGGGAGTAGGAAACACAGCACCAAGGCTGTGTTAACCAGAAGGTGGTTTTAGCCCCCAGGCTAACACGTCCACTTCAGAATCAGAGACTCTGAGCAATTGCTATCAGTTGACCTTGAGCAAAGTCTTTACCACTGTGAGTCTCAGGTTTCTTACCTAAAAGGTGGAGCTAGCAAGAACCCTTTGTTAGGTTGTTGAGAAGATTAAATGAGAGGGTGAGTGCAAAGTGTTGAGCACAGTGTAAGGTGCACGGGGCACAGTAAGTCGTCAAAAACCTGTGCTTGCATCCACTCGGCAAACAGTGTTTATTGATCATCTACTATGCGTCATCTTTATCCTAATTAGTATCCTAACGCTATGAATTTAGAGTTCCTCAGAAAGGGAAGCTGTTCCATTGTTCATAGCAAGAGGTTGTGCAGGCAGGTTGGCTGAACTTTGTTGCTTTCTGTTTAACCTTTTTCTTTTGGGGGATGCCTTCTGCCTGTTTTGGTTGGTGCAGGCTGAGCAATGATTTGAAACAACTCACTTAGAAGCCCAGTATCATACTGCCTGTTGTTTTCATTTGTGGGGAGAGAGAGGAAGAGAGACAGAGGGGGAGGGCTGGTTCTTCCATCTGAGGGTAGGGCCTGGGTCTCTGCATTCCAGGTGTGCACTGTAAGGGGTCACTCCTTACTACTTTTCTCCACGTCTCACAATTTCAACCCTAATATTTCAGCTGAAGAGCAGTCTGACCCTTACTTCACACCACATGATGTATCTATTCATCACTGGCCAACTATCTTTATCAAGATACTGTCTTTTAAACAATTTGTTGCAAAGTGGTTATTTTGGAAAGAAGTGCTTGGTAGGATCCCCTGTGCCCTTGCCCTCAATAGCTACTGCACTGACTGTCAAACCCCCTCCTGACTGGAGTCTATCTAGACATGGAGGCACCAGGTGGCTTGGATTTAGCCCTTCCCGAGTCTGTCCTACTTCGAGGAGACCCTTCAGATTCCAGAGGAAATGCCTACAAGGCCTTACAAAGTCCAGTCATTGATTATTATCTTGACTCCTCTGGACAAGCAAGGGTAGCAGCTGCGCTGGAATACGAAGTTTTAGATCCACTCACTGCCCCCAACATCTCCTCCAAATTGCCCCAGTAGGGGAGAACGTTCTCATCTTCCACTCTCCTTGCAAATATTCTGGTGCTCTCATTAGGAGAGGGAGGCTGTTGGAAAGATGAGTTGGAGAAGAAAATGAGAGTGTGAGACAACGGTGTCACAGGTCAGGCTGAGATTAGAGGTGGGCAGGACTTTCCTTCTCCATTTCCATCCGAATGCCAACCACGCTTGCATAGTGTGCAGTAACCTCGGCCACCCCAGTGCCTTGCACGTGGTATTCTCTGCCCGTGAAGCTCTTCTCTGGCTTCAGGCACTGTCTTCAATGTCATCTCCTCCCTCTTCAGTTGACCTATATGTTATCTCCTCAGAGAAACCTTCCCAGATCACCCCTTTCGTTTAATTCACAGCACTTATCACAGTGGATAATCACGTACACTTGTCTTCCCTGCTAATCAGTCAGTTCCAGTAGGAAAGAGGCCATTTCTGACTCTACTTCCCATTGAATCCCCAGGGGTGACATAAAAGGGCTTAGTAAACATGTCTGGAGGGAATGAATGAGTGTGTGAAGTACTGCCTCTGGATCTCTAAAATTGACATTCACCCAGGATGGAATGGAGCTCCTCAAAAGTCTTCAGTCAGACCCACGGCCAGGCCCTCCAAGTCACATGGCTCAGGCACCTCCTGGGCCAACTAAGGATATCTACTCTTCCAGATGGGAAGATATCTGGCCATACTGACTCCACCCAGCAGCCCAGGGCACTCCAGCCAGGGCTCAGGGAGTCTACTGATGGAGGGAGACAGAGGGGCTGGAATGGGTCCAAAGCAAAGCGTGTCTGATAAGTCTGAGGGAGTTGGGCCAGGTCTTCAGTGCAGAGGAGAAGCCAGAGCATGTGAACTTAATGAGTCCCCACAGCTGTTTTTAATGGGGACCTCATCACTTGAGGGCAGTTGGGGGAGAGGGAGGGACATGGTCTCAAAGGCTTAATTAAAAGTCATGAAAGGAGAATGACACATGGAAAGAGTGTGCTGAAAGGTGGGAAGGGACTTTGGTGGGAAAGCAGGACTGGCATTTCCATGTGAAACTATGTCAACTGGTTGCCTGAAGCCAAACTTAGAGTCAAAAATGGGGAAGGGATGATAGTTTCACAGTGCAGGATGACGATATTTGAGCATCAGATCAAGTTCAGAAATGAGAGCAAACTCAATGTGTAATTTTCCAAGTATGTGGGCCTTTCCATGACATTCATAGGAGGGCTTATCCCAGTGACCGCTGAAGAAGATCATTAGCGGTGAGGAAGGCATGTGTGCTGTGCTCACTGGGCCCAGGGGAGGCTGCCAATACTCCTAGAGGGCATATGCCATTGCTGTCTGAGGTTTTAGATTCAGGGGAGCCACTAACTCTAAGGGAAGAAAAAGTCTGTTGACATTTTTGGTTTATAGCTGACCTTTATTGAGTGTTTACCATTTGCCAGGAACTGTACCATGCATTTTCCATATATTATCTCATTCATTCCTCGCCATTACCCTGTGAGGTGGATATTCCTATCCCCACAGAGAGGTTCAGAAACTTGCTCAAGGACAACAGCTCATTACTGTCAGAGCCACAATTTCAAGCCGGCTGTTCTAACTCTGCAGCCTGCTCATTTAACCACCATGCTATATCACCTGTGAATTCAGTCATTGAACAACAAATAGATACTAGATGTTTCTAACTCTGGTTAGTGGCACCCATTCCCACTTACTTTTATATGTGAGGATGCACAGAGGCAGTGAGGATATAGGAAAATGACTGCCTCAGGTTTTATTCATCAAATTGTTTAACTGTTCATCCATCTATCCATCCAACTACCCAGGAACCAATCAACCAATCAACTCTCCAAAACACCATCCATCCCACCAGCCAACCAACCATCCATCCAGTCACCCAACTAACCAACAAACTATCCTTAGTTCTCTTGCCATAAATTGGGATTAGTAATTGTACCTACTATATGAGTGAAGGGCTTAACACAGGGTCTCGTGGCACTGATTAATCAATATTATTATTGAGCCATGTTGTCTTGAGCTGAGTACCCCAATATGATAATAAATGTCTCAAAGGCAGAGGAGAGGTTTGAGGCTTCTTGAGTGTCTTCTGAATGGCATTCTCTAACTTATTAGAGGGCATAGATCATAAGGTGTCACAAAATGTTCTTCCCTAAAGGAAAATTATTTTCGATCTGATGGCCAAAGAAAATTGGACTTCTGCTCAAAAGCTAATTGATTGGCTTTTAGTCTTTGGATAGTGATTCATATAACAAGGATCTTTGGGAACTGAGCCTTTTGTGTTTAACTTCATCCCGGCTTCCCTTTTATACTTCTCTCCTTGTTTTTGCCTACTTTTTTGAAATATATTCCTAATCTATGCTTTCTGTGTTGACATTATATTTGGTTAGGATTTGTTGAATCCCTGTGGTAACCAGAAGGAATATAAATATGATTATTTATAAGTTCTGGTTTATGTATTGACTAATGTTTTAGTTACTGCAGCGAAAGAAAGGCTACCTGAGCCACCACGGAAGGCCTCTACATACCTGTTTGCTCCAAATCATGGGGCAGAGAGTGTACAGGATTAAATGCTGTGAAAACATAAGTCTGAGGGGTAGATTTATGGCAGTGGTACATTTTTTTCTCTTAATGCTCACGGGTGGGATTCAAATCCCTCTTCCCAAAAGAGCAACAGAGAGAGAGATAAAAAGAAAGGAAGGGAGGGAAGGAGGTGTGGGAGAGAACACTATACTAGAATAAAAAATCCTGAGTTTTCAACTCCTTACATTTTCATCTCATTTGTTACATGAAATTAAGCCATTTGTCTGGTCCTCAGTTTCCCCCTCTGCCAAATGGGATGATCATTCCTACCCATTTGATTGGGTTACTACCAGGATGAGAAGAGATAACATATGGGGCAAAAGCTGTGAGACTTGTCATGTGAGCTTCAAATGGCAGCAATTTGTATTATTTCCTATAAAATGCCAAAATTCCAAAAGTGCCATCCATGGGACATTTAAGCACATTTTTCAAAGTCTTATAAACTATTTCATTAGGGGAAGAAAGAAAAAAAAGAAAGAAAAGAAAGCAAATGTGCTTGAGTTTTTGGAGCTTGGTCCAGAGCAATCTGTCAGACATGGCTCCTTTTAAAGAGGCATTTCTCTTTGAGAAGGCACCCTCTGTCACCTCCCCTTGACCAGGGCAGAAACAGGGCCAGGGGCCCTCTTACCTCGTCATCACAGCTGATGGAGCATTTGCCATCCAGAGAGGCACACTGTGCGGTGGGGGGAAAGCAAGGGGAAACGTATTGTTAATTGGACATTCCAGAATTTACTATGGCTGCCACTTAATTATTCAAGAACAAGCTATTTCCTTGCCTTTTATGCAAAAACCAAATTTCATCCAAAGGGAATGCTCCAATGGGGCACCTGGGTGGCTCAGTCGGTTAAGCGTCCTCTTGATTTCAGCTCAGGTCATGATCTCATGGTTCGTGGGGTCAAGCCCCATGTTGGGCTCCAGGCTGAGGCTGAGATTCTCTCTCTCCCCACCCCCACTCTACCCCTCCCACATGCGCCTGCATACTCTCTCTCTCTCTCTCTCTCTCAAAAAGAAACAAACAAACAAAGGAAATGCTCCAAGATGAGTATTGTCTGCTTTCCCTAGGATCAATACCAACTCCAAATAGTCATATAAAAAACAATTTTGGGGGGAACTGACTCTTTTTCATTTTAATTTATGTTGCCTATTTTAACTTATGTTGCCATTCAATATTGATATCTTTTTAAGATCTCAAATCTTTGAGTAACAAAAAATATCACTGTGTATTTAATTTACAATTTATAAAGGCTAGTGACTCTTTAAAAACACTCCTGTCTTACTCTATACTTTCCTAAAGTGTTTATTTAAGTATTTATGTAAGAAATAACATATTACCCCAACATTTAGAATTGGGGAAAAATTGCCATTTCCACTGAATCACTACACAAATACTACTGAGATTGCTCAATACAGAGAACACAGTGCAAAGAAGGAAGCCTTCCAGATTTTCCAAGGCATAGAAGCCCTCTCTGGTCAAAGAGGTCAGATGCATGCTTAGTCAGATCTAGTTATGCGAAGGCCTTCAAAACTGCAATAAGGAAATTCACAAATAGATAACCAGGCACCGCAAAGTTAGGAAAAAATCACTGTGGAAATTCATAAAAGTCACCAATAGTTACAAGAAAAACTGCTCCTTTGGAAGATCACTATCTTGATTTCACAATTAAAACATTTTGTAGGAGCAAATTGCCTTCTTTCCCAGCATGTGCTGTCTAACATGCTGACAGCCTTTTATTTTGCAGTGAAATGAAAGGTAATCTGAGCGGCCAGCAGTTCATTCTACAAACATTCATCGGAAATCTGGCACTTTAGGCTCCGGGTCCCCAAATGTGAACACCTGTATAATAATAGTGTCTCTAATGCTTCAATACGCTGATTATAACTTACCTGTCTGCTGGCAGTCCAGAACTTCCTCTGGAAAAATTCAAGTTTCATCTGAATGCCTACAGCTGGGACAAATTATAAATAAAACAAGGCATTAGAGATTCCTTCCCACAATTACTTAAGATTATCATTGAAAGTTATCTGTCACGGGGAAAAGCTGATGCAAGCATACCAGATAAGAACTTAAAAACTAAATTTACAGTGAAGCCTACAACTAAGACATTTTACCTTTCAGGTAAGGAATTCTCAAGGCTAATTACACGCACAGAGCTGTTGATGACTCTTTGGAGACACATTACCTGTGTGTTTCTAAAATTCATACACTTGTGGTCACTCCCCTCCCAAACCCAGGCTAAAAACAGGAATGAAAAAAATAAAGTCTATTTCGAAAACGATTGCTTCTTCTGGGTTCTTGTTTCAGTTATTACTGTATGAACTTGCATGTGTAAAATGTATACTATGCATGTGTTTTTGAGATACAACATTTGGAAAGCACTTGTCACGAGGCTGGTGTTTGGAAGGGAGTCACTTTGCTATGATGTGACTTAGTTAAACTGGCCCCCAGTATCCACATCTCGATGATTTTCTCTCCCCAGGAACTTTGAGGAAATTACGCAATTCTGTTTGGCCATGAAAAGCTCCCTTGAGCAACAGCGCATGCCAGTTCCAGTGAGAGAAACATACCGAGAGAGAAGTTAGGAAAGTGACTTGAAACTTTGGGAAGTAACATTTGGTGGAACCTTAGAATCAGGACAGGAACAAGCTCACACTGTTTCTCTCCCTGAAGCCAAAATGATGTAACTCTTGAAACCATTTTGGAAAGTGCTCAAGGCAGAGCAGAAGGCTCATCAGATGGTAAGAAGATGTTAGAGGAGTTTGGAAAGAAAGAATGCGATTCTGTGCTGGAAACACTGGATTCCACGCGGGACGCCATTGGTCCCAGTGCAACTCTGCAAACTTCAGTCTTTTGCACACCAACTTCCCCATTTTTGCCACATCTGCACACCACCAGTATTGTTATTTATCTTTCCACACGTTTTCTTTTACTTAAATACCTAAAGTAACTTCAACCTAAATAACAGTACCCATCAAAGGAAAGACATGGTTGGGGTGTGGGGGAAGTTCACTCAATACTCTTAAGATCCCACATGCCACCATGTTTAATCCCCCAGTTAGGTAATCGTTGCCATACTAACTTCAGGAACCTGAAGATTTATGAAAGTCTTGGCCTGTTACTCTTATAACCGTCAAGTGCATTCCTACTTATTAGAAAAATTGTTGAAGCAAGCCTGAGAGTCAAGGTTGACTGAGGTATGCACATTTGGAGGGACTCATCTTCTACCTTTGGACTTAGAAACTCAGCCTCTAGGATAAGGCTAGAGTGAACATGGCCGCAAAATGCAGAATGGGAAGTCTCTGGAATGCACCATCTCAGCACTCTGGATTCACGTGGCTTTGCTCAAAGCATTCCCCACCTTCTGGACCATAAGCTCTCAAAGGACAGGTACCTGATCTTGCTCCCCACTGGATCCCTGCCCCCCAGCAAGGTGCTGAGCATGTAGATGACCCATCGGTAAATGCTTGCCTTTTAAAAAACCTTTCAGGTGACATTACAGTCAGTAGTTATTGAGAAAAAAGAGTAATATCAATATGAATTATAATCACATCCAAATAGAGGCTTTGCAGTGGTAGTTCTCCACACGTTAGAACCCGGGGAACTTTTTTAGAAAGGACTGATCCCTGGGGTGCCTTCTCCCTCCACACCTAGACCATTTAAACTAGATTTCCTCGGAGTGGTGTCTAGGCATGGGTAGCTGAATGAAGATTTTTTCGTTTAAAGTTTATTTATTTATTTTAAAAGAGAGAGAGAGAGCATGAGCAAGGGGAGGGATGGAGAGAGAGACTGGAGAGAGAGAGAATCCCAAGCACGCTCTGCACTGGCAGCATAGAGCCAGACGTGGAGGTCAGTCTCATGAACTGTGAGATCATGACCTGAGCCACAATCAAGAGTTGGATGCTTACCTGACTGAGCCACCCAGGTGCCCTAGCATAACTGAAGAACAGCCTCTAGTGATTCTAATGTGCAGCCAGGGTTGAGCACGGCCGCTCCATAGGCCTTAGTAAACTGGCTGTGGGGGACCTGCCACCACGTGGACCACTTTGTCAGACTGCAACACAAGCTGCTCTTCCTGGCCCTGGAGACCATTTCAGAGGACACCTCAAGGAATGTGATTTTGGAGGCTGGAGGCTGTGTGCTGCTATTTCCAATAAATCTGACCTTCCCAAATGCCTGACAGGCCGTATCCTAGTTGGGGAGGGGCCAACCGAGGGCACTGCAGAGCAGGCTGGGCTTTGCTCAGATCCACAGCAGGCAGAGGTGAGGGCCTGCCCTTAAGAAGCGGCTTGGAGGAGTTTCTCTGGTTCTACCAACGACAGGGAGGGTGTGGGCAGCAGAGAGCTGACTTCAGGACAGAGGGCCTCACGTTGCGACATCCACTCACTGGTGTCTAGGAGGAGAGTGGAGGTGAGTTTCTCTCTCAACTTCCGTGTGCTTCTCTGTGCGGCTTCTCCTTGGCATTGGTCCCCAGCCAGCTCTTCCCAGACTGGCAGTCAGTAATTCTAAGGCCACTTGTGAAGACCATGGCCAACAATCATGGCAGGCTTCTAGATGCTAAAGGATAAAGCACAGGGCTTCCTGAAAGCGTCACCCCACAGTGGCCTTTCCATGGCGTTTCTTGTTCCAGTAGCCCAGAGTTGCCCCTGGCCCACCCATCCTCACCTGGGTTCCCCATCAGCAGCCCATGCCCTTTCTGAGAACCCCTTCTATCCTTTGATGGACGCCCCCCCCCTCCCAATTTTCACCTCCCTAATGAAGCTTGCTATTCCCTCCTGGGTGTTTATCCATCTCACATTCCTGAAGCCTGCTATCATCTGCCCCTTTCAGCCTGCACCCCAGTTCCTCAGAGTGCTTTAATCTTTCCTCCTGAGTCAGCCCCTCCATCCCATTAATCATGTGGGCTGCTTCTCTCTGATCCCCCTCCAGCATGCTGTGTCCCTTCCCTGCTCCCGATGCCCTAAACTAGACACCGCTTTCCTTGCTCCTCATTCCTCGCACCCCCATGTGGGCCGTGAGGTCGATGCCACAGGGCTGTCTGAAGTCCTGACTGCCACATCTGCTTGGTTGTGCCCTGGCTGTGTTTTTGCTGGCTGACCCCCCCTGCCCCTGTCAGCAACTCTGGCCCCTGGCTCCCGGTAGCACATCTGGTTTCGTAGCATTTTCGCCTACAAGCTAACATACTTCTCTGTGATTAAGAGAATCACAAGCTCATTGGCAAGTCAACTCCATGACCATTTGTTCAGTGGCCTTCCCTATGCTGAGCTCTCAGTTGGGTGCTAAGGGGAAGGAGAACACATAATCCCATGGTGTCTAGCTGTGGTGTAGCCACATGGTAAAGGCAACGTCAGAGACTTCACACAGGGCTGAAGAGCACAATAGATGGAGCAGGTTTGGCCTGGGAGAGCTGGCAGGAGCTTTGTGCAAGGTTACACCTGGAGACCTGACTGGCAGGAAAAGTAAGAGCAGAGGCAAGATGGTAATCCAAGCACGGAAACAGCACAGATGAAAGGATGCAGCCTTTTAAAAGACCACAGTCTCTTCTGATGCTGAAGGAATGGGAGTGGGGGACATGCTTGTGCAGGTTGAGGTCAAACAGCTGAAGGTCTTGAATGTTGGGCCCACGCATCTAAAGAGTCTCCTGTAGGCCTTGGGCCAGATCCAGCCTCTTTTTATAAATAAAGTTTTATTGGAACACAGCCACACGCATCTGTTTCCACACTGTCTATGGTGTGACGGCAGTGCTGAGTCGTTGCAACAGAGACTGAATGGCCCACAAAGCCTAAAATTCACGTTATTTGGCCCTCCACAGAAAAAGTTTGTTGACACTTGCTATGGGGTCTGAGGAGCCATTTAAGATTAAGCAGAGATATGGCAGGACCACAGATCGATATTTTAGAAAGTCCATGATGGAGGCCTTGAAGAGGAAGTACTAGGGAAACGGTCCAGACAGTGGGAGACGACAACAAGAGGTCTTAGGCACCTCCAGCCACTTGGTACATTTGGCTAATGATCTCTTAAGCATGAAAATGATTTAAAGCGGAGAGAAAAAACACACACCAAAAAAACCCACAAGAAAAACAAAAAACCTAATACCACCCCTCACCAACGGCCACTTCCCCGCCAAACAGACAGAAATGCTTAAGGAGCATCCTCTACCCGACTCTATTCAAGAAAACAAATAAGAGCTTCCACAAACAGAAATTTAGATTCCTTTCACTATTTTCCTTTATCTTTGTTTCACATGGGTTTTTTTTTCCAACTCTTATCAGAAGAAAATCATTATTACTTCAGCATGTCCCACTCTCTTCCCCCACCCCCCACGTATCCCAAATGGAACCCAAGATATTTGTCATGCCTGTCTATTTTGCTCTTTCAACAACATTTTAAGCCATAACAGTATACTCTGATTCAAGTCAATCTTGCTAATTTAATAAGGAAAACAAGGACAGAAAATGCTTTAGTGAAACCCAAGTCCCAAAGAGAATGCAGAAAATAAAAACACCATTCCTGGGGTTTGAAATTTTTTAGACAGTCCAGAAAATCATCAACATATTTCTCCTGGAGCTCATGGGTTCTCCTCACTTCCATTTGAGTACAAAAGCTCCCAGACCCCCTGTCAGGGGCTTTCACCATGAACATAGAACAAGAGCCCCTTTTTCCATGACAGCATCGGGTGGTACCTTACTCACCTTCAGGAGTGGAATAGACCCAGAAAAAGGTATCCTTTGGGGCCCTTCCCAATGTGCCAATATTGTGTGTGCCTCTAGGACAGTGACGCCCAGATACTGGTAAGGTCTTTGGAAATCAGCAAAACAACAAAACCATTTTTGCGAGAACTGCCATCCCAAAGAGCCCCAGGCCCTTTCACAGGAGATAATTCAGGCATCTGGAGTACTGACATCACTTTTGGTTTGAATTACTCAGGTGACTTTTCCTGTAACTCTCCTC